GAATCCAAAGATATCAAACATTTGACCAAAAATTATTCAATTATTTGAATAAAATTTAATTATATTTTCATTTTATAAACTTTATATTGAATATGCTATACCATTTTTGTATACAATTTTTTAAAAATACATTCAAATTAAAGCATAAGATATTAATGATAAATTCTGGAAATTCTAAATAATGCAGGTTAAAGAGCAGCTAATAAGTTTAAATTGTTAAATTTATTTTAATATTAAAAATTTGCAAGTTCAATTATACCTGTAAACACTTTTACTAGTCAAGAAAAGTTTACATACATTTCCCAGAAAAATCCAAAAAATAAATATCCACTTTGCCATATTAATATTTTCCTATAGATAACCATAGTAAAATAAATGTTTCTTCAGCAAATTCTAATTTATTACATGGATAAGGGTTGCTGTAATTCTATCTTTCTTTTCTCTGTAATCCTTACAGGTAAATTTGAAAATTTTAATACAGGACTCTAACATCCAAAGGTTTTCAATGATGATAACTTTATTATATATTTAATTTGTTGTTACAGTTAAATGAACAATTTTAAACATTCACTATTTCACACTATTAAATGTTACTCCAATATTTTTTTACACAATTAAAATAATGCTTTACTCATTTAATTTAGAGTAAGGTAGTTAAGTCGTCATCATTGAAAGTCTTGATGTTAGAAGTGCTGTATTGAAATTCTCAAACTTCTTTGTAAGGATTACAGAGAAAAGAAAGATGTTTATTTATGCTGTTTTGTTTATGTAAGAAATAAAAATTTCAACAAACTAATAATATAAAAAATTTATAGTATTAAGATAAAGTTATACAAGTAAATTAATATCATTTATTTTATTTAGAAATATTTAAAATTTTTTAAATGTATTTGCTTTCTAGTGTACTTAAGAGTATAGATTGATATACCTTACAAACTAAAAATATGCAATACAACTCCACCAATATAATGTCTAAATGCAATATTGGATTTTTCCCCACATTATATAGACTACTTTTTTTGCCAGACTTTTCCTATTTGTAATAATTACAAAATTAAAATGCATACGAATATTATGTAGTATGTTTTAAAATATCTACTTTCAGCAGATCAAAATTATAAATATCATATTACTGCATTTCGGTAAAATTCAATATTGTTCAAAATATTTTTTTTTACAATAAGTGGAAAATAAGAAATCAAATATTTCTAGTAAAACTAACATTTGTATATTAAATATTAATGAAAATACTACATAATTTGTTTTAATTAATTCACAATATTTATAACACTAAAAATTCAAACATTTTCAAAAAATAATAAATCAGTGATTTTGATAGTATATGCTGTATTTATTTGAATTCAATACTGAAGAATTTTAATTGAATGCAATACTGAAAATTATTTAAAATTATTTTATTTGACTGATAGATTTAAAATTATGCCATGTAAATTTATGTATAAATAAATTTACAAGTTAATGAAACTATGAAATTATGCAGTATACTACAAGTATACTACCTAGTTCAAATTCTTTCTGCATATAATACTTCTTTTCATAACATATACACATTCTTTTTATTTTTATGCAATTTGATCAAATAAACAGCTGTATAAATATCCAGTTTCAATCTAAATTAATTAAATTAATATTGTATATCATATTAAGTAAATTAGCAAATATTTTATTATTAATTTCATCTCTGAAATGAATTTAGATTAGAACAGTCACTGTAAATTACAATAATTTGAAGGAATGTCACAAATTTTAGTTATTAATAAATCTTTCAAATATTGAGCTACTGTTAAGTTAATATTAAAACTGAAATTTATAAAAGCATATGAGCAAGACATCAGTTTAAAATAAATCAATTGTAAATACAGCTAGAACCATAAATTAAAATAGGAGTTATACTCTTACAAAATGTAAAAATATATTATAAAGATAAATGTATTTATGATTTTGTAAATTATTTAGTTAAACTGTTAGCATAATTCTAACTAATCATTTAAAGAAACCAAGAACTCAAAATAGCTGATCATTCTCTTTCTAGTTGATACATTAACTCAATTACAAAAAAAAGCCAGCAAAACACCCACCACTTGAACAGCAAACATTTCTGTCCTTTTAAAACAGAACTGATACATTAACAATTCATATTAAGATTAAAAATCATCCTACTGCAAATACATGAAACAATACAAATGATTATTTTGTCTTGTATGGTGTGTCTGCCACGCCATACAAGACAAGCGGTGTGGCCTAATGTCTTCTGGTGGCAGGCGGCAGATTTCTTTGAATTCGGAATTTAAAAAATTTTTGAACAGTATGACAAATGTTTGAACGAAAATAGAAATTATGTAGAAAAGTAGATAAAAGTATGTAGAATATGTGAAAAAATATATTTTAATGATATTTAAAGTATTTTTCTTCTTATTAAAAACCGGACCTTATTTAAAAAATAGCCCTCATATTATGTTACACAAGCCTAAGGAAGAAGTCTGGCTGGCCTAGCCATGGCTGGACCACTTTTTGCTGCCAAGATTATTATGAATACAATTCTTTTAAATCATGTGCTAGTACACAACACTGTCAAACCAATATATTCTCTAATTCTGAAAAATTACTATTAATTAACATTTTAATGTTCAAAATTTGTACAATTGATTATTAAGCAGCTGAATCTTCTTTTGTTTCAAGAAATCATGTCACTTAACAAGTCTATTATTAATATTGACAAAGTATGTAATATAGATAACAGGCCGAATCAGCCTTCCACTGAATTTCAATCCCAAAATATTCTTATGGAAAGAAAACCATAGTGAAACAATCCTTCCAGAGTATGTGATTTAACTAATGAATACTATGTTTTTGAAAAATATGTCATATTCTGCAGTATCTGTTGCTGTACTTTGAAAAGCTATAAAGTTAAAGCAGAAATCTGGAAACCTTTTCTAATTACAAAAAGATTTAATTGTAAAAATGCTATTATGCCCTTCAGAAATTAAAAAAAGTGATTGTCACAAGAAAAGATCAAATTTATACTTTCTCATGTGAAAGACATTGGAGAACAGCTGTCAACCTATGATACAGAAAAGGAGAAAAATCACAGACCTGTAAGACAGTTGTTATTACTATAAAACTTTAAATTATTTAATTTTGGCATTTTTTGTAGGTTTTAGAACTTTGCACAATATCCTCCCTTCCTAATCAGACTTTTCTAAATGAAAAGGGTATTACTTTCCCTCTCCCTATAAACACATTTCTACCCAGCAAAATTTAGAAATTAAAAAAGTTGAAACAACTAACTACTGAAAGTAAAATATAAAGAACTTGGAAACCATGGCTGTAACTGTGGCAAATGCTCTCTTCTTTAAGCTGGACCACTTTTCCTCCTATTTCTTACAGCCCTGTTATTTATATAACAATATAATTTCAGTTCTGATTTAAATCTGATAATAAGCAAATAGTAATTTATATCTAATAATAATTAATTTTTAAATGTTCGTTCAGAGACTATCAATTCATTTTCAGTAATTATCAATAATACAAATTTAAATATTTTCAGTGCAGATTAAACAGTCCAATTTCTCACTAAATTCTTAAACACATAATCTTTACTTAAATTTTTAATATAAAAACATTTACAGCAAAAAAAAAAAAAAGGTGTAGTGTGATAAGTGAATTATTTGCTGAGCACATTCTGTTTAATATTAAAAACATTTATTCAATAATTATATATTTGTGATTATCAAAACCCATATCCAAAATATATAGTTTTAAAAAACTTCTATAATATTATTATTATACTGCTTATGCTTCAAAAGTACTGATTTTGCCACTGTGCAAAGAACAAGCTCAGTGACAGGATGCATATTATAATGGATAACATTTAATTTATAATTTATATTTTATCTTACACACACACACAAAAAGTCAAATTAAATGCAAAATTACGATTTTAAATACACATTTAAATTGATCAATGTTAATTTTTTTCAAACATTAATACTGAGAACAAAAACTTTCATATAATTTTTCTAATGTCATATAAAAATTATCTATGTTAACTAATGAAGTAAACCGAACTACAGGTCACTTCACAAATACTGGCTGGGAGCTAGGCATTACCCAAATAGACCATCTATTTGGGTAATGGAAGGATACAGGTGTATTTAAAGAAGTACCATTGAAGTATTTAAAGAGAGTGTATTCTGAAAATATGAGATAAGCTTCAGATATATCCATGTAGCCTGCACCCTTCCATATTAACATACTCTCATCCTTGTTACTGTTATAGCAGGCAGACTAGCCAAAATTCATGAAATGTACTGTATTTTTTCTGTACACTTGAGAAAACACAAATTTCATAAAATTTTATTACAGTATACAGTTATTAATTAAAACAAAAACAAAATTTAAAATGTTTTAAATTTATTCATATGTTATAATTAATAATTCATAATTTTAACATATTTTGGTTGGAAACTGTATAAATCAGAAAACTATTTAAATGATATTTAAACATGATGTTTTTATTAGATATTTTTATGCATGAGAAGGTTATTACTTTCATAGTAATACTGTTTTATAAAAATGAATATTTACAATGTATCACAACTTATAGTATTAGTTACATTTTATATTGGATGACAGTCTTCAATATGTTTTTGAAATGAATTACTCAAAAATTTATTATAAAAAATAATAAAATAAAATAGATTAATAAAAAATGAATACTATATATAACGACAAAAAGAAAATTGTCGTAAAATATATATATCAAAAAAAGAAGATAATTTTATTTTTTACTATTATTGACTTGCTAAATCAATAAATTATCAAAACATTAAGATAAATTCTTAATGTACACAGAATATTAAACTTCTATAATTTAAAACTATCTTACTTCTATTTTTATTTCTATCATCTTGAAACATCAAATTAAAAAAAATTATATATTTATATATATATTTGATAAAATTTAAATAATATATATATCAAATGTTTTTTTCTTTATAAATTTATAGTTAAAAAATCTGAAAGTTAATTTTCTGTATTACCATTACAGGAATGTAATGTTTAAAAACAAGAAAAATTAATTCCTTATTCAATAATAATTGACAAAATATTGGCAGGCATCAAAACCGATCTTTTGGCAGAGTTTCCAATTCAGTTTCTTGTAAATATTGTAATTCTTGCAAATCTTGAAATTTTTCATTATCTTTAATACGAGCGTAATTAGCTGATAAACACATTAAATAATTCACCTAAACAATTAAATAATTGATTTTTAATAATTATATTTAACTGCAAAATTAACAAAAATAAAATTACTTCTGAACCCACTTACTAGACTAATAACTACTAATAATGAAGATGCAAGTGAAAGAATAAAAAGCACTTCAGATGGTTCGACCTAAAAAAAAAACAAAAAAAAACAGTTATATATATATAAATTTATGGTATAAATAAATGGACTATCATAAATGTTTCTAAATTAAATTTATTTCTTTTGATCTTTGAAAAGTTTTTAAATTCTATATTGTATAGATTAATAAGCGAAACTTGATACAATAAGGCAGTGTTCTGCAACCTTTTTCTACTTGCGGCACACCCATGACTCAACACGGCACACCGAAATGTTATTCCCCTCAAAAATGTATGATATGATACTATTAATAGAATTACGTAATGCCACTAACCTATTATTATTGTTATTAAACAGACATCAACACCTGTGAGCAAATATTTTTTACATATAATTTCTTGAATACTTAAAAAATGTGTGGCTTATAATAAAGAATAAACAATCATCATCTTATTTCATCAGTGCTGCAGCAGAGAATGAAATACAAGCATAAGAAACACAACAACTGTGATAAAAATATATAAATAAAACTTGAAATTAACAGAATATGTAAAAGTTCACTTCACACCTTTCATCATGTGATGACACACCGGTTGCGGAACACTGCAATAAGGATCTAAATAAGTCTATTTCTTATAATGAGAGAAAAAAAAAACATGATTAGTTTCAGAGTATAGAAAAATACTAAATTGTGAATGTGATAAATGAGCGAAAAATTAAATCTAAATAATTACTACTAGTATTCAGGATGATCTGAAAAATATCCTGGTTAACTGATTTTTAGATGATTTAGAACAGTTGCAAGTTACTTTTATGATCAGCTTGCTTTCATAGGAAGTAACTGAATTACAAATAATAATTTTTAATAGTTCTTAAATAATCTTAAAATATATCTCAGTTAACTAATTTTTGGCTACTCTGTATTGTCATTATAAATAAAATTGTAAATAAACTACATTAAATATACAAGTTTTGTTTTTAAGTTTATGTGGAACTGTTATTGCATCAATAGCGTGTGAAAGGACCGAATGACATGGACCCATATGTAGAGTCTATCAAGAAATATATTTTTTTTGTAAATACAAGTTTTGTTATTCATACAATTCTGTTATGTGATGTAAAAAAATTCCATCATAATCATCCAAAATGTTGTTCAGGTTTATTTGTAAAGCCCTGGTCACACTATGCGATTTCCAGCCGTGCAGGCGACCGCAACTGCAACAAGCGTGAATCATGTGTGTCTTCTCATGGTCACACATTGTATTTGTTGACGTTGCAACTCTGAAAAACATGACCCTATAATAAACCAATAAAATTATAGTAGCTTGTTTTTGATTACTTCCATGAGTTTACCGACATTTTACGTTCTACTTCATAGTATTTACAGAATTTTAGCCACTTTTCTTATTAAAATGGTAAGCAGTTCCTTTTCTGGAATGAATAAAAGAAAAAAAGGCAATTATTTTGATATAGCTGGTGAGAATACACAAAAAGATAATTCTTTGTTTTATCGAAGATTTTAAAATCCCACAGGTATTTGTGAGCCTGAATAAGCTCAATCAATCTCAAATAAATCCTCTAACTATCTGCCATGAGGATGAACTATTTTCAATGTTGTCACTGTATGACGTGACTCAAAGATGTTTGCTGATTGGATGCGCATTTGCAACCGTCGTGAGTAGAAAAACTTTTTGTTTCTAGTTGCGGTTGCAGTCGTGCCAGTTTTTGAGGGGGATTACTAGTTAACGGGAACAGCTGTCGTGGTTGCAGTCGCCTGCACAGCTGGAAATCCATAGTGTGACCAGAGCTCAAGAGATGTCTTATCCAGAAATATACCAACTGTAGCGTTGAGAATGCTAAATGCAAAGCACAGTGATGAAAAAATAATTTTTCCATTTTAATGACTGCACAAGATGATTAATAGATAAACATTGAAGTGCAGCTACAATAATTCAAAAAGTTATATAAAGTGGGTGATCAGTTAACAAACATAATCTATTCCAAGACTTTGTTTGCTATCTGAATTGTTTGTTAACCAATTATCAATTTACCATAGATTTTTATGGGAATTTGATTAATCCATTCTGGAGACCCCCCAAAAATAAAAAATATATACTTTCTTACTACATTTATTTATATGTAATAATAAGAATACATATATACACAATCTTGCATTTTTATTAGTCATGTTTTTTTCTGTTTGGACAGATTCTTTAATGCCCCACAATGTTGATTGCTTCTCTCTCTTCTTCATGATTTTCTAGAAGTAATTAATCGCATTGTCATCATAGAGATCCCCAAGCCTATTATCTCAACCTGGTTTGGATGACATTCTAAGACTGTTGTTCTGACATCCTCCTACTTCAAAAGATCTTTAATAGCATATATCAGCATTAATCCTCTTTTTTCAGAAGAAAATAAATCTCGCTGAGTTTCTTCGTATTCTTCATTCAAGAGTTCTTGGCATTCTTCCATCGTCAGGTTCCATTATGAGCTCGTCAATGTTCTTTATTTCTCAGATGTGATTTTTATTACTCCTTTAGCTGCCTGAGTCTTCTTGATTATTTACTTGTGCCAACGATAGATCTGACACCTAGCGATATTAGTGCATAATGGCAGCTGCTATGGGTATAAAGTCTGGGGTCTGTTAAAATTAGAAAATGTTCAACCTACAATGGTAAATAATAAGTACTGCTGTGTATTTGGATGTAAGTCTAAAGGTTCACCAAATTCAGTACATATGCACACATTCCCAAAAGATAACTTCAGTTTTATTTTCCACTTTTTTCGCAGTAATTTGTCACTCCAGTTTCACCAACATCTAATTGTGCTGAACTTAAACTTCTTTTATTTTCACAAACGTTTTCAACCTATCTAATATAGGCCATCGTCAGGTTTAATATTATAAATGTTCCAAAATGAAACATAGCATTTTCGAATATTTTACATAGCCTATTTAAAATTCAAAAAAATAATTTAACTTTAAAATAAATTGAAAGAAGTGTGTGTATTAAATAAAATAAAGCTAACTAGAAAGAAACATAATTTAAGGGTTTTTAAGTCACATTCTTTTTTCTATTATATATTTCCATGCTGTTGGAAGTGCATTAGAATCCCTAGCATTTAGGCAACGGTTTTTCATTTTACTTTTATAAATTTCCACCTTTTCCATATCTAATGCAATGAATGGAGAGTACACCGTTTTAATGACTTTCGCCTCTTCTCATTTTACAACCGCTCTTTCAGTCCGCACCATAACTGCTAATATTGTGTTGTTGTGTCCTTTATCTACGTTGTATCTATGTTCTCGCAGACGTACCGACAGGTGTCTTCTAGTCACACCTACATAATCTTTTTCGATTCCTAACTGTTGATTTTCAAATGGTATTTTATATACCTCAGCTCTCTCTTCCTTTGTTACACTGTCTTTATTGTTCCGTAGCAAGCTATAGATATTGGATGTTCTTTTGTAGATCATTCTCAAGTTTTTATAAGAAAAAGAGCACACAATATCTAGACCTTGAATTTTAAATATGTAAAATATTTGAAAACGGTATGTTCCATTTTGGAACATTTATAATATTAAACCTGACGATGGCCTATATTAGATAGGTTGAAAACGTTTGTGAAAATAAAAGAAGTTTAAGCTCAGCAAAATTAGATGTTGGTGAAACTGAAGTGAATTATTTGCCAAGAAAGAGTTGGATAGATATAAAGTTATCAGTTTTAGTATTTCCTTTCCTTTTATAAGACATCTTTTTTGATCACCCACATATTCTAAAATGTCACAAAGAGTAATCATCGTGACATAAACAATTACAAAATCAACTAGGTTTAATGTCGGACACAAAAGCGGATAAAAAGTTTTGACTACAGAGAGAAAAGTTATTACAAAGACAACACACAAGTAACTCTCGTATGTTGTCAGGCACGCTATACCCTTTGTGGCAGCCATTTTGGTCGACTCATACGCTACCTATACTTACTGACACAAGTGACTACTGTATCTTTCTTAGATAAGATTGAACTGCAGCCCACTGTCAACCTGTTCTAGTCATACTGCTCAGCAACATCAGACATATTCTGCCCATTCTCTACCTTTGCTATTATACTCTCACTTTTCGAAAATAAAAACCAATGCAAAACTTAATGAGTACCTGCCCAACAGTCTCGCAAATACTATAAAAGAATTGTTTCTGTCAGAAAAATAAAAGACTGAAATTACAAGAGAGAGTTTCAAACTTCGGAGGGATACTTTCCGATCAGTATATACCGGGTTGAGCATCAATGTTGATGTCTCCTGCGCTCCAAAAAGTTTCAAATTGTTGCCTGAAGACAAGGGAAGACCAATCAGTATTCATTATTTTACATCATTTCTTCTTGTGTTTGTTCTGTGAAGTGTTCGTTGTCTGAACATAAAAATCTTTCGCGAAAGTGTTCGTTATCTAATTTGTTCGTTAACCGATCACCCACTGTATAGGAATCTACTTAAGATGGCCAAAGAAGTTAAAGTGTTAGACTACCACTCTGGTGACCCAGAATTAAATTCAGATGATCAATTCCCCTGGAATTTTTCATAAAAAGTCTGTCCCAGATATATCAGGTCTCATTCCTTATTACCCTAATTTTGACATCATCTCTGTTGTGTGATGATTTTGTAACCATCTTAAAAACTACTAGAAACACCTGACAACAAATGACACTGTGATAAGTGGCAAAATTTTTTCTCTAGCAAAAAAGTTCAACAGTTTCAAACTTCTGAGTGATTTGTGAAATGTAAAATTTGATGGAAACAATGTCATGTATGACGTGTTATTAACTGTTTTCCCCCCATTTTCGCCAGCAATTTGCTCTGTGTGAATTAAGTTTGACAAAAAATGTGACAACCAAAGTAGTTACATTGTATCTGTATTACAGTCGACCCCCCTATAAGATAGAGATACGTTCCATTCTCTAGGAATCCGCTTTCTTACGAATCCTTCCAATCACAACCCGACACGTATCAAGTTTACGGACTACGGCTGTTTGAAAGATTTTCTTCCATAAAATTAATCGATTCTAGACTAATCCGACTCAACATTTCCAAAATACGTATATATTTTTTGGGAATAATCCGTATAAACTACGCTATAAACAAAAAATTGTAGGATTACTTACCGAGTGTCACCATTCGACATTGCCATTGCTCAACATTGTTTTCGTCGCGGAACAGCTCAGCAAAGAGCGGCCGATTTCTAACAACTTATTTTTCTGTGAAAACTTCGTAGAACTTCGGAGACATCATTAATATAAATAATTTTAATCGCCGTTGAATAAGAAATGTTTCTTTCACAAGAAATGTATAAAATTACAGTACTGTATTAGACTTACGGTACCTAATTTACATACTGACAGACGATAGTTAGCGTAAAAATCTCCGTAGCGTGGCGCCACGCTAGACGGCGGAAATTATATATTTAATTATAACAAAGTTACAATAAGTTAATATATAATTATATATACAGTACCTAATTTATATATAATTAATATATAATTATATGTACAGTACCTAATTTATATATAATTTATATAATACTGTCCAGACGATAGAAATCTCTCCGTAGCGTGGCGCTACGGACGGCGGGAAAGTAGTTCGGCTGCCCGATGACGTTTGAGGTGTTTATAGGGAACTTTTACTATTTTTTACGGATACCGGTAGCAATTTTTTCGTAGTTTTATAGGAATCGTAACTATAGGGACCGTAATTATAGGGGGGTCGACTGTACTTAATAATTATCAATGAAATTGTTTAATTCAAATTATTTTGCATTTTCCTTGAAGTTTGAATTAAATGAGTTTGACTATTTTCTATTTTTTCAAACAATCTTCATTATAGCTTAGTTTTGTTTAACCATTCTGATATACTGCTCCAAACTTAAATGGCAAGTACTGTTTCCTTCTGATTTTGTTTGATTTGAAAATCATTGACAATATTAAATTTGTTTTTGTAAATGAATTTAATTTTATTTAACTTTACAGTATTTAGTAAACTAATTCAAAATATTATAATTTACAGATTTCAATCACCTATTAAGACTTAACTCCCTAAATTATGCTATTTTGATTTTGACTCTGAAAGTCTTTATTATGAATTTTCAATAAAGCAAACAAACAAACTACTGTGCCCTAGCAATTTGTATTAATGCAAGTTGACTGTATAATATTGTTTCAGAAATGTAAATTAACTTCTAAAGTAACAATTTTCATTTTCACTATGCTTTTTAATTCCATATTATTGAGTTCTTTCTTCATTACAACTAATAAAATATAATTTTTAATAATTACAATATAAGTGATTTAATTTCTAAAACAGGAATTTATTGACTAACATTTATATAACTTTTCTAATAACCAAAACTATAACATAGCATTAATATACCTATAAACAATGAACAGACTGAGATAACCCATTATAACTGCACTATTTGCCATTTTATAACATGCATTATCAAACAATAATAAAAGTGGGCTGGCTAAAAGCAATGTTAAATACAAGTAACATGATACCAAAAAGAGCATCTCTTTGATGACCAATAATTTTTTTATTATTATATTTATTGTTATTTTAATTGCTTTTTAAACAGAAATCTTCTGTTATATATCAATCGAAATCAAAGAGTTTCTTTTCATAATACAATAAAAATTCGTTACTTTAACACGAATCTGACAACAGTGGTGACGAGCTAAACAGTGCAAAATATTTTTAAATTGCCACAAATGATGTAATTGCGTCGAATTTCAGGTTATTTGAAACGAAAAACGCAAAATAAACATATCAAATTTCAGCTTGCTGTAATTGATCTCCTGTTTTACGGATTCCCATCGGGTTTGTNATCGAACCTTTAGATGGCTCAATATATTAAGTTAATTAATTAAAAAAGACTAATATAATTGTGCATATAAACAATCACCAAGCCTAATTATTAATAATCATCTCACAAACTATTAGATTCATTTGCCTATAATGAAACTAAATGATTGCTAGATTAGATCACACTATATAACTGTTACAATTAAAAATTAGTTCTCTTAGAAAGTGTTCAGTGATGTCTTAGTGTTACAAATTACACTTATAATTACAAAAAGCTTTCTCCTTAAGAAATTATATCATAAAATTAGTTCAGTTTTACTTTTACTTAGTTCATTTTTACTTATAAAGATTCAGATTCTGACCAATTTTGGATTTTGATGTTTAACATATACTGTAGAAATATTAATATACAATAAAATCTTATACTAGAGGAAATTAATAATATTGTATGTTTTTTTCTAATATTTTCTAACTTCATAAAAATAACCTTTTATATCCTACAATGTTAAATAAAAAAGGAGGTATTTTTTAAAAACTCTTACTATAACAATAAATCTTTCTGCAACAATATTTTTCTTAAGTTCGTTCTATGCAGAAAAAAATGACGTTTTGCATAGAACCAAAAATATTTTTCTTGTTCCACTAAATATTGCTGTAGAGCAGCATTTCCCAAAGTAACGATAATGCCCCCTTGTGTGTGCTGGAGGCTTTCAGAGGGGCAGTAGAAGGCTCAGTGATTAAATATGAGTTTTATTTCTTCTCATTGAAACATTCTTTGATCTCAGAAATAGGATATGGGTCACACCCTATCCACATAATAATACATGTTTAAACGTTATATTTGCAATAACCGTTTTTAAGATATGCAATAGATGGTAATGTAAAAAGGTAAGTTAAAAATATGGGGACACTAGATTTTTTTTTTAATGTCAAAGTGGGCAGTGGTTGAAATAAGTTTGAAAACCTGTGCTGTAGAGGTATGTATAACTGTAAACACAAAAAGACATCCACATGTGTATTTTTAATATTTTCAAAAAATTTAATACTTACTAAATTGCCTAAGATCAATACATCGTAAATTGGGATCTGCTTCCTTGTTCAAATTGTTACACATTCCCCACCACATAGAACAAATAAATGTAATGACAACCATAGATATCAATACTAACAGCCATATTAATTCCAAAATGTAAGTAATCACCATAAACTGAAAAAATAAAATTTGAACATACATTTACCAAAATAAAATTAGCAAATAATGTTAATAAATTATGAAAAAACATATACAGTAACTTGATTATTAAATAAATGGCTTAGAATTACTAAGAAAGTTCCTATTTAAGAAAACAAAATTATTATAAAATTTTATGATTAATTATAAATCTATAATTACTGGTAACAACTTCATGCCATTGGCCCATTGTAAATATGATTTAAACATGGATTTGTTTCACTTTAAAAATGAAACAAAAATCTATGTTTAAATCTGTTACAAGTTATCAAAATTTATTATATTTTACATTCAAATCTATATCATTAAGTGTTTGATCCTGATGATATGTGAAATATCTTGAAAAACATGTAATTGAAATAAAATACATTTATCTTCCTCACTATACAGTTTTTGTTATAATCTATTATCATTCTTCATACTCAAGAGATTAAAATACACATATATTCACTGAAGAAACAAAATTGAAATAATCATATCAGGTTGTAAAGGTGAAATTTAGACATTTCAATATTTTCTAGAAATGACTGGAAAAACAAACTGTATTCCCACAATGAGTGTTCTAGAACATTTGTTGTGGGATACAATATAAGTAGAGTAACCAGGAGGCATTTCATCACATATTTCAAGTAAATTAAACTTCACTCTGACACCGGGGATGAAATACTAAATACTGAACCTGTTACCAGTGTAATTTGCGTGAAAAATCTTCTTTCCACAAACGTTTTCGAGCTTTCCAACTAGCTCTTCTGCAGGTAGACAAAAAATTCTGACAAAACACTTCGAAAAATGGAACGTAGATATTTAAATAAAAAACCGAATCCAAAAATAGAACGCAGATGTTTAAACAAAAAATATGAAACTCGCATAATGAACGATCATTAAGATGGTCATGCGCATTCGTGCGCTGATGTTGCTATTTATAGATCGTTGTTTATGAGGGCCTGCCACGCTATAGAAAGATTAATCTCATCCTTCCGATTTATACATGTGGTCCGGTGGTTAGCCTTACAGATGGATATAGCTTCCCGCCATTTTAGTTGTTCCAGGTGGGGCGTAGTGTCGATGATGTCAGCTTTGTCGAACTCCGGTTCTATATCGGGATCAGATGCAAAGGTGGTTAGGGCCGTGGTGTACCGCCCATGCCGAAGGTCTGCTTGATGCTCTTGCACTCTGGTATTTAAAGATCGCTTGGTTGAGCCGATATAGACAAGGCTCTCGTTACATCTGTTATCTTTCAGCGGGATAGAGTACACGCCAGGAAGCCTGCTACGAACTGGACTGCCTTTTCCATTTCTGAGGATGTCGTAGATTGTTGGGCATCTTCTATAGGCTATTTGTAATTGTTGTTTTCCGGCGATCTCAGCGTATATCGCTTTAACATATGGGTTAAAGGTGACTGGGAGGCGTGTACGTTCATCCTGGTCAGTGTTGGTCTTCGTACGCGTAGTGGGTGCGTATTGTGAGCGTTGTTGTCGCTCAATTAGACGGTGTGTTAGACCATGGTAACCATGCTTGGCTGCTATCCTCTTGATATAATTCAATTCGGTGTTGAGGGCTTGCGTGGTGGACGAGTGGGAAAAGGCCCTTTTAATCAAAGTATTAAATGCTGCAGCCTTGTAGGTGAATGGGTCAGATGAACCTACCGGTATGTATATAGAGGCGGCATAAGGTTTACGGTATACCGACGTGACGATGGCGGATCCTTCTACTTTAATGTTTATATCCAAAAAATGGACCTCAGTATTGCTAGATTGTTCCATTTCCAGCGTTAGGCCGTAGGGATTATCGTTAACGGTTTGTACGAAATTTGAGATGTCAGGTATTGTCTTCCACATGATGAGGATGTCGTCCACATACCTCCTATAGAGTAAGATGTTCGGGAGGAACAGTGGAAGTATTTTTCGTTCAAGTTGCCTAACGACCATTTCGCATAGGTCCCCGGATACTGGGCTACCCATGGGGACTCCTCTTTTTTGTTTGTAGACTTCTCCGTCAAACGCAAAGATAGAATTATAACAGATCAGATGGGCTAATTCAATGACTTGCTGGTGTAATGCTTGTTCTTGAGTCAAATTAAGCAAAAAGTCCCTAAGGGAGCAAAAAGCTGGAGGGAGCTCCACCGATGGGTACATAGATTTAAAGTCTAGCACGGTAATATACTGCGGCGTCGAAGACAAAACCCGAAGGAGGTGGATGAGCTCAACTGGGTTATCGATGGTATACGGGTAGCCCTTGAGGTGGGGAGAAAGTAGGTTGTGAATGGCTTTCTCCAATTTTCTTGTGGGAGCTCTGATTTTATCGACTATTGGACGTAATTGTTGGCCCATTTTGTGCGTTTTGGCAAATGCAAAAAGTCTTGGTGTATCCGGGGAATCGACTATTATGTTGCCCAATGCAAGGCGTTTTGCCAATTTGGAGTTTGCAAATCTCTTAACTTTATTTTGTATTTTGTCCACCACGTTCTCATTCTCCTTTTCGCATTGGGTGATATTGATGTATTCCTTTAAGCCTTGGCGGTAGGTGCTGCGTCTCATGAGGACTAACGTTTTAGATTTATCCGCCCTGGTGAGAATGATCCCGTTACGTTGCATCCACTCGTTCGTGCGTCTAAGTTTATTTCTCAGCTCGGTGACCTCAGGTTGTTCTTTAGTTTTTTTATTCTGAGCGTGGGTAACCATCTGTAGGACTCTTTTTGTGTATCTGGTAGGCTTTTTATAAGCAAATATAAGGACCTCATTCCAGATTTGGAACTCCTAGTAAAAAGCCTACCAGATACACAAAAAAAGTCCTACAGATGGTTAGCCACGCTAAGAATGAAAAAAACTAAAGAACAACCTGAGGTCACCGAGCTGAGAAATAAACTTAGACGCACGAACGAGTGGATGCAACGTAACGGGATCATTCTCACCAGGGCGGATAAATCTAAAACGTTAGTCCTCATGAGACGCAGCACCTACCGCCAAGGCTTAAAGGAATACATCAGTATCACCCAATGCGAAAAGGAGAATGAAAACGTGGTGGACAAAATACAAAATAAAGTTAAGAGATTTGCAAACTCCAAATTGGCAAAACGCCTTGCATTGGGCAACATAATAGTCGATTCCCCGGATACACCAAGACTTTTTGCATTTGCCAAAACGCACAAAATGGGCCAACAATTACGTCCAATAGTCGATAAAATCAGAGCTCCCACAAGAAAATTGGAGAAAGCCATTCACAACCTACTTTCTCCCCACCTCAAGGGCTACCCGTATACCATCGATAACCCAGTTGAGCTCATTCACCTCCTTCGGGTTTTGTCTTCGACGCTGCAGTATATTACTGTGCTAGACTTTAAATCTATGTACCCATCGGTGGAGCTCCCTCCAGCTTTTTGCTCCCTTAGGGACTTTTTGCTTAATTTGACTCAAGAACAAGCATTACACCAGCAAGTCATTGAATTAGCCCATCTGATCTGTTATAATTCTATCTTTGCGTTTGACGGAGAAGTCTACAAACAAAAAAGAGGAGTCCCCATGGGTAGCCCAGTATCCGGGGACCTATGCGAAATGGTCGTTAGGCAACTTGAACGAAAAATACTTCCACTGTTCCTCCCGAACATCTTACTCTATAGGAGGTATGTGGACGACATCCTCATCATGTGGAAGACAATACCTGACATCTCAAATTTCGTACAAACCGTTAACGATAATCCCTACGGCCTAACGCTGGAAATGGAACAATCTAGCAATACTGAGGTCCATTTTTTGGATATAAACATTAAAGTAGAAGGATCCGCCATCGTCACGTCGGTATACCGTAAACCTTATGCCGCCTCTATATACATACTGGTAGGTTCATCTGACCCATTCACCTACAAGGCTGCAGCATTTAATACTTTGATTAAAAGGGCCTTTTCCCACTCGTCCACCACGCAAGCCCTCAACACCGAATTGAATTATATCAAGAGGATAGCAGCCAAGCACGGTTACCATGGTCTAACACACCGTCTAATTGAGCGACATCAACGCTCACAATACGCACCCACTACGCGTACGAAGACCAACACTGACCAGGATGAACGTACACGCCTCCCAGTCACCTTTAACCCATATGTTAAAGCGATATACGCTGAGATCGCCGGAAAACAACAATTACAAATAGCCTATAGAAGATGCCCAACAATCTACGACATCCTCAGAAATGGAAAAGGCAGTCCAGTTCGTAGCAGGCTTCCTGGCGTGTACTCTATCCCGCTGAAAGATAACAGATGTAACGAGAGCCTTGTCTATATCGGCTCAACCAAGCGATCTTTAAATACCAGAGTGCAAGAGCATCAAGCAGACCTTCGGCATGGGCGGTACACCACGGCCCTAACCACCTTTGCATCTGATCCCGATATAGAACCGGAGTTCGACAAAGCTGACATCATCGACACTACGCCCCACCTGGAACAACTAAAATGGCGGGAAGCTATATCCATCTGTAAGGCTAACCACCGGACCACATGTATAAATCGGAAGGATGAGATTAATCTTTCTATAGCGTGGCAGGCCCTCATAAACAACGATCTATAAATAGCAACATCAGCGCACGAATGCGCATGACCATCTTAATGATCGTTCATTATGCGAGTTTCATATTTTTTGTTTAAACATCTGCGTTCTATTTTTGGATTCGGTTTTTTATTTAAATATCTACGTTCCATTTTTCTAAGTGTTTCGTCGGAATTTTTTGTCTACCTGCAGAAGAGCTAGTTGGAAAGCTCGAAAACGTTTGTGGAAAGAAGATTTTTTACGCAAATTACACCGGTAACAGGTTCAGTATTTAGTATCACATATTTCATTGGAAATAGACACATCAGCAATGTCTGGCAATATGAAGTTTCAAAGAACACATTGGTGTGCTGTTGCTCTATCACTTCAAAAGAGGTCACAATGCAATGGATGTTCACGATCACATCTACAAAGTATTTGGTAACAACACAGTCAACAAGTAGACCTGCTACAATTAGTTCAAGGAATTCAAGGATGGAGATTTCTCACTTTAAGATGAACCTCAACTAGGTAACAATTTCACTATTGATGATGTTTTCTTGCAACTGATAGACAATAATTTATGGCTGACCACCAGAGAATTAGAACAACAACTTGCATATTCCCATAAACTCTAAAAATTGACAAAGTCTGATAATACCAGGAAATGTGCCAGCACACAGAGCAAGATGATCTTGGAGAAGCTGGGGAAGTTCTACCTCATCCACTTTACAGCCCCGACTTGGCACCAATTAACTACCATCTATTTCATAAACTGAAGAACCATGTTACCAATATATAGTTCAATGACAATGCCCATGTGAGAATGACAAGAGACTTTCTTCAAAGAAACACCCCAGTCAATCTATGCTCACTGGATTGAAAGTTTGTAGGAAAGGTAGCAAGATGTAATTAATATTGATGGTGATTACCTACAAGACTGAACTGTAATTATTGTTGAGTTAACTGTCAATAAAGATTTTTTTAAAATGTCTAAACTTTACCTTTACAACCTGATAAAACAAAACTAATTTAATTATGTTTTAAAAATAAATATTAACTGAAAAAATGATAAATTTTAAATAAAATTTAAAGTAAACATTATTATTATTTTTTGTTGAAACTTACAATTGCACATGTAATTCTGCCTCCAACTCTTGACTTCCATCCTCTATAAACTTTTTCCCTAGTTGCACCGGTTGCAAGGAATCCAACCAATAGAAGTATTAAGCTTAATCCTCCCATAGTGGCACCAATTCCAATAAATATAATATGCATATCACTCAACCTAAAGTATATTTTAAAAGATAAGTTTTTATATTGTGTTGTTATAAAATTAAATCAATCATATTTAAACTTCATTTAGCTAATAACTTGAATGGAAAAAATATATCACTATTATAACAAGGACATTGTTTTGATCTTTCAAAATATGCACTTTTATTAATTAATTAAATAAAATTATCACCAGAAGTTTTTACAGAAAAAATTTTTAATAAATTATTATTGAACATTTACTACAATAAACATATAAATAAATTCATGTTCTTCCATAGAAAAGCTTAAATGTAAATTTATATATCATTTGTAAATTCATACACATGGAAGTTGAAACTTGAGAACTTGTTACTACCCTATGAATATATTATTAATAAAATCTTTTCATTTTTTATGTATGACTGTAGTATTTCAATTAAAAGTCTTTATTAGATTACATTACATTAAATAATACAAAATGTGATTACAATGTTATATATACTTTTTAAAAATGGAATGATCAAAGTAAAATATATATTTTCAATAAGCTTAAAAATTTTACATAAATTTAAAAATGATAAAATTAAATTATACATGTAAAGAAAAATAAATCTTCACATGTGATACTTAGACACAGAGTTGTGAGGCTACATCACAACTCTGTGAATCAGTCTTTCATATTGATATTAATAGATGTAGAAATACTTTTGTTATAATTTTCTAGAGACTTCCTGAATAGTGGGTCAGAGAGTTTAAGTACAAGTAAACTTTTTTTTTTTTTAAAGTTATGGCAATGCAACATTTCAGCAATCTGCCTTCCAGGAGATCTTTTTAAGGGTAACTGGCCCATATTCAGGCATTACAGACATGGAGAAAACCCAGAAAACTCCACGTGGCCAGCCCATCCTGGCAAGGCATGAACCCACAACGGAAGGAACTCCCAGTGTTCGAGGAACGGAATCACTTGGCACTGGTNACTATTGCCTGTATATAGTCAAGTAATAGTCAATCCCATGTAAAAGTCGGCCCTCTATTTTTGGCCAAAAAATCTGGATTTTTTAATAGACCCTGTGTAAAAGTCAAACTTAGTATTTCACACAGACAACAGGTCAACATTTGCCAGAATCTTTTTCAATAAGAACACATATGAAAATTAAATATAAAAATTCATATGTCTACAAAATTTCATCAAAATTGGTGATTACAAACTGCCAGGTTATCCTTGTAAGTGCTCATTCTTCTACATCTTTCAGATGGAATTGTTTCCAAAAGAAGAATATTTTTAAGCTTTATATTGCTTTTGACATCTACCTGGCATGACGGAAAGCACCTGGGTAGCAGAAGGGAGTTTCACAAGTGGACTCCTCCCCAGAAAAATTACAGTGAGCTACAGGAATTTCTTTTAATCATCCTTACACTTCCTTTGTTACAAAAAACTCAAATAGAACTGCAATACTTGGTCACAAGTGTCAAGAACAGATTGTTCTACAACTTCATCTGCAACTCCAGTCTGAAATTTTGACACATCTATGCCCATTGATCTCTAAATCACTTGAAGAGTTGCACATTTGGATTGGATGCTGATAATACAAACTTTAATGAAATATAGTTCAGTACTGTTTCCAATGTGCCATCAGCAAGGCAAATAGCAAGTCTGTCTCCAGGAAAAGCTCCAATAAAACACGAGCTCCTTTCAGGTAACATGTGTTAGAAACAGTAGTGTCATAACACAAATTCTTAACTTTCTCACATGATCAAATTTCTTCCATCCTTACTTCAATGTTATGTAATACTATTGGGTTGAACCAAAAGTTTGTTCGGGTATTTACATAATCACTCGTCTGTGGTGCCTCTGTTGTGCTTATCAAGTTTTAACTTGTTTAGGTTGACGAATATCTGCATATTTATTACATAATTCGAATGGCCCTGTTCAAGCACATCATCTTAACTTTATTTAATAGTGGCTCGTTTCCAATAGGGAGGGAAATACGATACATTCTTTTTCTTGTAGTTCGAACGGCCCTGTTCAAGCACATCATGATGTGCTTGAACAGGGCCGTTCGAACTACAAGAAAAAGAATGTATCGTATTTCCCTCCCTATTGGAAACGAGCCACTATTAAATAAAGTTAAGATGATGTGCTTGAACAGGGCCATTCGAATTATGTAATAAATATGCAGATATTCGTCAACCTAAACAAGTTAAAACTTGATAAGCACAACAGAGGCACCACAGACGAGTGATTATGTAAATACCCGAACAAACTTTTGGTTCAACCCAATAGTATTACATAACATTGAAGTAAGGATGGAAGAAATTTGATCATGTGAGAAAGTTAAGAATTTGTGTTATGACACTACTGTTTCTAACACATGTTACCTGAAAGGAGCTCGTGTTTTATTGGAGCTTTTCCTGGAGACAGACTTGCTATTTGCCTTGCTGATGGCACATTGGAAACAGTACTGAACTATATTTCATTAAAGTTTGTATTATCAGCATCCAATCCAAATGTGCAACTCTTCAAGTGATTTAGAGATCAATGGGCATAGATGTGTCAAAATTTCAGACTGGAGTTGCAGATGAAGTTGTAGAACAATCTGTTCTTGACACTTGTGACCAAGTATTTCACTCCCTATTTATTACATAAGTTTAATTACAGCTATTTTTTAAATTTTGTTAATTTTAAGAAAAAAAAAACATTAAAATGGAAGATAAGAAGGTGCATTTTCGATATCNAAATCTCCCTCCCTGAATTTTGAAAACCATTTCTGGCATGTTCGATCAGTAACTGCATCCTCCCCATATACAGCACATATCTTTTTTTGAGTTTTTGTTGCATTTTTTCCTTTTTGGAAATAATAGAGCATCAGATGTTGAAAATGCACCTTCTTATCTTCCATTTTAATGTTTTTTTTTTCTTAAAAGTTAACAAAAAATAGCTGTAATTAAACTTATGTAATAAATAGGGAGTGAAATATGATACATTCTTTTTCTTGTAGTTCAAACGGCCCTGTTCAAGCACATCATGATGTGCTTGAACAGGGCCGTTTGAACTACAAGAAAAAGAATGTATCATATTTCACTCCCTATTTATTACATAAGTTTAATTACAGCTATTTTTTGTTAACTTTTAAGAAAAAAAAAACATTAAAATGGAAGATAAGAAGGTGCATTTTCAACATCTGATGCTCTATTATTTCCAAAAAGGAAAAAATGCAACAAAAACTCAAAAAAAGATATGTGCTGTATATGGGGAGGATGCAGTTACTGATCGAACATGCCAGAAAGGGTTTTCAAAATTCAGGGAGGGAGGTTTTTCTCTCGAAGATGCACCTCAGTCAGGATGACCTTCAACCATAGAAGATGAGTCCATAATGGCTTTAATTCAAAATAATTGGCATAAAACAACACGAGAGATAGCCGACATCTTAAAAATATCCCAAACATCTGTTGTCAGACATTTGGCTAGCCTTGGCTACACTTCCCGTTATGATGTTTGAGTTCCCCATAAGTTAAGTGAACGAAATCTTATTGAGCGTGTTTCTGTATGTGATTCACTTTTAAAACGCAACGAAGATGATCCCTTTTTAAAGCAATTAATAAATTGCGTTGAATATTGTTGTAAATGATTCATTTTTCATCACTTACAATGAAAAATGAATCATTTACAACAATATTCAACGCAAGAGATCTTGGAGTAAGCCAGGTGATCCTCCAGTGCCACAACCTAAAGTTGGTTTGCATCCCATAAAAGTAATGATTTCAGTTTGGTGGGACTGGAAAGGGGTTCTTTATTAAGAGCTTTTACCCAACAACCAAACAATTAATTCCAATAAATATTGTCTCCAACTGGATGAACTAAAGGCTGCAGTGCATCAAAAACGTCCAGAACTTGCAAATCGACGTGGAGTGGTATTCCATCATGATAATGCAAGACCACACATATTGTTAAACGTGCGCCAAAAACTTCTAGACTTTAACTGGGATGTTTGAGTCACCCTGCATATTCTCCAGATATTGCTCCCTCAGATTATCATCTTTTTCATTCATTGCAGAATAATTTAAATGGCATAGAATTTCAATCTCTAGAAGGTATCAAAAATCACATTGATAATTTCTTCAATCAGAATCCCACCCAATTCTACACAGACAGAATTATAAAACTACCCATCAGGTGGCGTAAGGTTATTGAACAGAAGGGTAAATACATTGTGGATTAAACATTTTTATTTATTTCAAAATAGTATATTTTATTTCTTTCTAAAAACCAAATGAACTTTTGGTTCAACCCAATATTTCTGGAAATAGAGCAATGCAGATTGCATGATGCAGGGTTTCTGGAAAAAAGTATCTCATGTATCAAATATTTCATTGCTTGGGACACTATTGCCTGTATATAGTCAAGTAATAGTCAATCCCATGTAAAAGTCGGCCCTCTATTTTTGGCCAAAAAATCTGGATTTTTTAATAGACCCTGTGTAAAAGTCAACACTAGTATTTCACAGACAACAGGTCAACATTTGCCAGAATCTTTTTCAATAAGAACACATATGAAAATTAAATATAAAAATTCATATAATTCCAGTTTTATATTTTTTAAAAACTGTTAAAGAAAACAGACTGCTTTTTTCTGCAGAACTTTTACTATCACACCTGAAATATGGCAGTTGATTAGAATTTAAACCTACTTTTAAAGTCATACTTTGATCCCCTTAGCATAATAAATTACTACATTGTGCTTCTAGCTGGAAGAATATTCCTGTGTTATTAAAAAAAAACAAATATCTTCATCTTAACTTGTAAAGAAATCACTTGATTACTTGATTTTCATGTAAATAAAAAATTTTTTAAATTTTGCTTTCCTATANGACCCTGTGTAAAAGTCAACACTAGTATTTCACAGACAACAGGTCAACATTTGCCAGAATCTTTTTCAATAAGAACACATATGAAAATTAAATATAAAAATTCATATAATTCCAGTTTTATATTTTTTAAAAACTGTTAAAGAAAACAGACTGCTTTTTTCTG